AAAATCTGGGAAAATATGTGGAACCAAACGAAACAACTGACAAACAAGAGTATAATTATTCTTTACTTCTTCATTTAATTTTGATATCATATATGAAAAATTTCCCATTATTATTATAAAATATAATTTATACATTAAAAAAAGATGAAAAAGTGTAGATAATAGCTTTCCGAAGACATAGAGATTTTAATGAAATGTTCTTCGACCAGTGTTTAACCCTCCTACGTCTACCGTTGTATAAATCCACAAAAATATATTAAAAATTTAAAAGCACAGCAAGTTCTTTAGATTTGTACACACCAAATTTCATGCCTTTTTGAAAAAAAAAACTTGATTTTTAAGATCTAAAACTTGAAAAAAATGCAAAAATGCAGATAAATGGCATATAAAAAAACAGAGCAATTACGTTAGATCTTGAAAAATGAAACCGCATGAATTTTAAAAAAACTAAAATTTTACAAGAAAAAATAAAAATGTTTCTATATACATAATAATAATAAATACTTTAATACTGTATTTGAGAGAGAGAGAGAGAGAGATGATTACGGATGAGCGGGGACAAATGATGAAGACGATGGTCGAGAAAGAGAGGATCGTAGCGGTGGAAATTAAACGTAGGGTTAGGAAAATTCGTTTTATATTTAACTTAACTTGGGCCTGCCAATGTTACTGGGCTAATATTCCTGTTTCTATATATACACACATAAATATATTCTTAATTATTTTCTATTCCTATTAGATAAAAAAATATTTTGGCAATATTTTATAAGTTAACTCTGCTAAACTATTTGTGTGTGTGTGCGTGATATATATATATATATATATATGCACACACACATACACATATACTATATACAATTTCAATTTTATTTATTTTGATGTCAAAATTTACCAAGTTTGATGGAAAATAGTCAAATATTAACGTATAAACAAATACTCAAGGAAGGGGAAATATATTTATTTGTTAAGAAAAATATGAATTGTTCATTTATCAATTAATTAGGTCATGCTCCATCATAAGTTGCAGGAACAAATTGTCCATCATCATTCATCACCATCAAGCTGTCATTTGTATAGTATGTATACTATTTGTAATAGTGTTAGCACTAAGCCTCTCTACTATAAATAAGAGGCTTAGGATCCCTGTAAATTATCATTAAGAATAAGAAGAAGAGTGAAGAGTTAATAGAGAGAAGAAATCAGAAACGTATCATATTTATATTCATAATCTCTGAGTAGTTTTTCTCTCGTTTTATAACACATTATCAGCACGAATTTTGCTCAAAATCCCAAAATCCTTGTTTTTCTCAGAAGGTATATTTATTTAATTTTCTTCATAAACAAACTAAAATATTTTCTTAAAAACTATGAAAAGTATGCTCTGTGATTGCTCAAAGTTGGGATCCTTCAAATCAGAAACTTATAGTTATAAAAATTAAAATTAGATAATTAAAAGGAATAAGTTTCCTCATAATAAAAAAAATCATTTTTATAAATTAAAAGCAAAGAGTAGATTTAATACGGAGTAGTTAAGATTGAAAAAAAAAAATCATTGAAATCAATGAACTTACCTTCAATTCCTTCTCTTCTTGAATTCTTCTTTAACACATTCTTGATAGAAATAGATAATCTCACTTTGTAATATTATTTTTATTCTTTATTTTACAAATAAGATTTTTTTTTTAAATTTAAGGAAAGAACATGATTATATGATATAGCATAAATACATGAAGGGAATAATATACGGAGTAAAACATGACTATGAGAGGGGATAGTAATATACTTAAAAAAATGTGATGCTATTGTATGGTCCATATTTATCTTTAAAATTTAAAATTAAAGTGATATGACTAGTACAAAGATTCTTTACATATTCACATGTGTACTATGCATTATTTAGCCTAAGGAGTGTCTTCTTGTGTTTGGTATTGAATAAGTTTTGAGGTAAAATTTAAGTATACGTGTACTTCATATTATTTTAGAATTCTAACTTTTGGCACAACTAAATTTACTCAATATATATAATAATAGACTCACAAAAATATAATAATAATTTTGATCACATGAATCATCTTCCAAATAAATTATACATTAATATTTTTTTGGACTGTGCAATTGATTTGTTTAACGCCACATTAGTATTAATATATATTTAAAAAAAACAAATTTATTTTGAATTTTAATACTCAGTAGTTTGTATTCCTTTTAGATTCTCTGTGTTTTTTTATTAAAAAATGGATAATTTTTCATCCAAGTTATTTTCATACGTATAACATTACTAATAAATTTAAACTTATTCTATTGTAGTCTATTCCATGGCCAAGATCACCAAAAGAGAATTTGACATCCTTGATTTATCCGGTCAAAGGTACCTGGAATGGAGGGTTGATGCACTTGCTCACCTTAAGGTTAATGGCCTCGAAAATACAATTGCTGAAAATAATACATCATCATCTCAGCAAAAGACAAAAGCCTTAATTTTCCTTCGCCACCATCTTCATGAAAAATTAAAATCTGAATATTTATTGGTGGAAGATCCGAAGGAATTATGGGATAATCTCCAAGAGAGATACGGACATCAACAAAAGGTCCTATTGCCAAGAGCTCAATATGAATGGATCAATTTAAGATTCCAAGATTTCAAATCTGTTTGTGACTATAATTCTGCTATTTTTAAAGTCACGTCCACATTAAAATTATGTGGACATAATATCACTGATCATGACATGTTGGAGAAAACTTTTTCCACCATACATATGTCAAATGTGATATTACAGCAACAATACCGAGAAAGAGGTTTTAAAAAGTATTCTGAGTTAATCTCAGTATTACTTGTTGCTGAGCAGAATAATGAGCTCTTAATGAAAAATCATAACATGAGGCCCACCGGTTGTAGCCCTACAAATTTTGGCCATCCTGATCGTGGTTCAGCACCAGAATCAAATGTTATCCAAGGTGGTGCTCGCGGACACTTTAAACGTGGACGCGGAAATAACCGCAACAAAGGGCCGAACAGGG